TGACACAGCCCTGCAACATTTATGTTGAATAATACAGCCTATGGGACATCCCACCTGGGCAGCAAGGTGCGCCACAGAGTGTTTGTTGTTTCTGTGGTGACCTGACTTGCAGGTGCAGCAGAGAGCTGCCCAACATCCAAAGAGAAGATGGTACCAAACATTGCTGGCTCAGGCACAACTCCAAACTTAAAACAAAAATACAATTTCTACGGAAGGTATATCACTTTAACACCAGAGTAAAGTTGGAAAGTCCTATGTTAATATCACATCTTATCTGTACTGCCTAGCCCCATGAATGCATCAGAGAGAGAACAATGCCACAGACCCAACCGCAGGCTCCCCAGATTCTCTGTGTATGCAAGTAGACCTGAGTCTGAATCCCTGGAACCCATGTAAAGCTCCTTGTGGTGACATGTATACCAGTGTTGCAACAGTGAGATGGGAGGTGGAAATAGGAGAATCCTGAGAAGCTCAAAGGCCAGCTGATCTGGCATGAACAAAATAAAAGAAAACCTGTCTTGAATAAGGTGAAAGGTGGACCTATGCCTTAGGTGGTCCTCTGCATGTGTGGGTATGTGTACAACCACACACACACACACACACACACACACACACACACACACACACACAGATATAAACCTATCATAGACATAGATGCATGCACACAGCACAGAAACACAAATCATAGTCATAGATGCACACAGGCATGTCATAGACATAGGAGAACACACATACACAGATTTTTAAAGACAAAACTATGCCCATGAAGAACTCAGGATGGAGGTTTGAATGGAAATAATCAAAGTCCGGCACCCAGTAGGTAGTGATTTCATAGTGACCATATCTTTTTCTGAATATAATGGAACTTCACCCTCCCCTGCTACAAACACACACACCCATATAAACACACACACACTATGGTAAATTTTACTTTACGAGAGCAACAACATTTAAATGCTACTTGAGTGCAACACACCTTTATTACATTTAGCCTTGGTGCTACAAAATTAATTACACCTCAATCTTTCTAACTCAAACTTCAATTTATCCATAATGAAATTACTGTAAACAAGGGACACCTGTTTTGTTATCTTGCTCATATAAAAGCCATGCCATTTATCCATATGTATTGTTGCCCTTGACATAACTCTGTTGGGGTTCTCTTATTATTTCTTACTATAACTTCAATATCTTCAAATCTAATATGATGACATTTGTCAACAGTGATCATTATGAGCCTCATTTTTCATTCTTCCAGAATATGAATACTAAATGATTGACTTACACTTTGTACCTTTAAAGTATTACTTATTTTTACCCAGATAAAGCATTTGAAAAATGTTGTCATCAACAGGAAAATTTCTAGAATCAGCTAGATGAATCCTGGCACTCACAATGGGAAGGTTTGGGGAGTTAACAGTTTGGCTCTGAATCCCAGCTGCACAGATATTCCCCTGTGTAGTAACCCAGATCAAATCCTGTGATCTGTGTGCCTCGTTTCGTATCTGAGATGTGAAGATTGCAACATTACCAACTTTGTACGATTGTCATGAGAATCAAAGGAAGTGTTAACACAGAAAAGGCTAAAGAGAGGGCCTGGCACAGAGAAAAACCTCATGAAATGTCAGCCATTGTCACTCTCTGACTTCTTTCTTCCACTGTAGTTGATAAAGGCTCTATCTATTCAGGTAGTCTAAGTAACTAACCTAGATAATCTCAGCCACACACAACAGGTCTCTGCAAAAGCTCCCTTGCTTGAAAGGGCCATTGCATGGGAATGGATTTCTGTTATACTACTGTCAGGAGCTAGGATACTGTCCAGCAGTGTGCTCTGACTTCATTGTGACCTTGTCCAAGATTTGGGGATATTCTAGAGCTCGTTTGAACAGGGAAATAATTAGGATACAGGTTCTAACTATTTAACACACACCTTAAAAGGGAAATATTCAGAAATCAAGACATATTTATGTGCCTTAGTAATTACTCCAGATTCCAAACAGGATGATTCCTGTTCAGTTAGCCATAAAGCCTTATCACTTACCCAACCATCAGTCTGACAGGCACAGGTTAAAAGTAGCAATACATACCAAATTTTCATGCTGCTAAGGTGTTCTTGATGAGAAGTAGGGGAATAACATCGTTTTTAATAAGTAAATCTATTGTCTTCAGATCCTGGCTAACACTTACTCAATGAATTTTAATTGACCCAAAGATCTGGTTTAGAGTAGACCAAACAGACTAAACAACAGTCTATAAAAGATGCCTAATTATTACAAGAACAAAGTAAGACATGATGGCAGTAGATTGATACTTTCATGGATATGTTGAGGTTTGACTGTCCCTCCCTAAGAGCCCATTGTATCAGGAAACTATGAACAGAGAAACAATCACTTTCACAGCGAGGGGTAAAAGAATGGAGTTGATGCAAATTCAGCAACTGAAAGAAGTTTGCAGTATACTTTTTGGAGATGACACTGAAGACCACTTAGGGGGTCTAATGAGAATAAGAACAGAGGTCAATGCATTTGAGTGATATCCAGGCTCCAGCACAGGGAGAGGGAAATGTAAACATATAGTGATGTGCTTGAGTGACATCAAATTTAAGTCCTGGCTAAGGTCTGTCTCCCTGAGGGCTCCACTTTTTCTTCAGAGCCTCAGTTTTCTGTCCAAAAAGTGAGAAAGGGCACCCTGCTGTCCTACTTGGGTGGATATAAGAATTAAATGAACTATTATAAAAATTATGCAAACTTTCTTGAAACAAGGTATATTTTCAGTAAACAGGAACTCTGTGATATGTGACCTTTTATAAGCTGGTGATACTTGAAGAGAGAAAAAAATTAAAAGATAATAATGACAAGAATTTGGGGACAAAGGTCTGATCTCCAAAATATATAAAGAACTCAAGAAACTGGACCGCAAAAGGCTAATCAACCCAATTATAAAATGGGGCACAGAGCTGAACAGAGAATTCTCAACAGAAGAAGTTCAAATGGCCAAAAGACACTTAAGGTCATGCTCAACTTCCTTAGTGATCAGGGAAATGCAAATCAAGACAACTTTAAGATACCATCTTAAACCTGTCAGAATGGCTAAAGTAAAAAACACCAATGATAGCCTTTGCTGGAGAGGTTGTGGAGAAAGGGGTACACTCATCCATTGCTGGTGGGAATGCAAACTTGTGCAACCACTTTGGAAAGCAGTGTGGCTGTTTCTCAGGAAATTCGAGATCAACCTACCCCTTGACCTAGCAATACCACTCTTGGGAATATACCCAAGAGATGCCCTATCATACAACAAAAGTATATGCTCAACTATGTTCATAGCAGCATTGTTTGTAATAGCCAGAACCTGGAAACAACCTAAATGCCCTTCAATGGAAGAATGTATGAAGAAAGTATGGAATATATACATATTAGAGTACTACTCAGCAGTAAAAAACAAGGACTTCTTGAATTTTACATGCAAATGAATGGAAATAGAAAACACAATCCTGAGTGAGGTAAGCCAGACCCAAAAAGAGGAACATGGGATGTATTTACTCATATTTGGTTTCTAGCCATAAATAAAGGACATAGGACATTGAGCCTATAATTCGTGATCCTAGAGAAGCTAAATAAGAAGGTGAACCCAAAGAAAAACATATAGGCATCCTCATGAATATTAACCTTCATCAGGCGATGAAAGAAGACAGAGACAGAGACCCACATTGGAACACCGGACAGAAATCTCAAGGTCCAAATCAGGAGCAGAAGGAGAGAGAGTACGAGCAAGGAACTCAGGACCGCGAGGGATGCACCCACACACTGAGACAATGGGGATGTTCTATCAGGAACTCACCAAGGCCAGCTGGCCTGGGTCTGAAAAAGCCTGGGATAAAACTGGACTAGCTGAATATAGCGGACAATGAGGACTACTGAGAACTCAAGAACAATGGCAATGGGTTTCTGATCCTACTGCACGCACTGGCTTTGTGGGAGCCTAGGCAGTTTGGATGCTCAACTTACTAGACCTGGATGGAGGTGGGGGTTCCTTGGACTTCCCACAGGGCAGGGAACCCTGATTGCTCTTTGGGCTGGGGGGGGGGACTTGGTTTGGGAAGGGGAAGGGAAATGGGAGGCAGTGGCGGGGAGGAGGCAGAAATCTTTAATAAATAAATTAATTAATTAAAAAAAAGAATTTGGGTTTTTAAAGAGCTAGTTTTTTATCTCCTTAAATAATTTTCCTACGTATAGGAGGGAATTGAAACATTTCAAACACACTTTTGAAAAAAAAAGAGAGTTTTTTTTTCTCAAAATACAAAAATGTTGCATACTGTTAGCTACAAAAGAAACAATAACAGAAAAAAAAAGGCAGACTTTAGAACACAACTGTTCCTAGCCTAGTGTTCATGAAGGACACCTATTAGGAGACAATTAGTCATTACTGGAGACCTTTATAAAAACTACCCAGGTAAGGAAAGAAAGTAAGTGATGATAATCCACACACAGATCTGCTTGAGTCAACCAAGCCCAGCCCTAGTGGGCATGCAACCAGGTTCCCACATGTGGCCTGATGTCAACCTAAGGACCCTTCCGCAGATTCCTTTGGAATACGTGTGATGAAGTTGAGATTGAGAACTGGGATCAGTACAAGCAGGCTCAACCTGCAAGACTAAAAAAGTAATGGTGTCCTGGGAGCAGAAGCCTCTGAGTCCTGGGAGAGCTGCTTCACAGGCAGGCACTGGGAAGTGAGCCCAGCCAAAGACAGAGCACTGGGAGCAATGGCCTTGAGCACACAGTGGACATCTGCACAGGCTGTGTTAAGGTGGTTAGGAGACAAAGGGCAGCTGTGCATCTGAACTCAGGAAGTCTAAACTAGCACATGTGATTGCCCTCAATGCTGGTGTTTCTATTTATAATAAATGAGCTTTAAATTTGTAATAGCAGTACTTTCACTTCCCAACTTCAGGGACCACATCCCTCTGTTGAACCTTGCTCAACAAATCCGTCTATATACATTACCTTCTCGAGGGCATTGTTGCACCTGGACTGAGTGCAAGGCATCAAGAAGCATGCGGAGTTGTTTGTCCTGTTGTCTGGGACCTAGGTCCTCAGGGATATCGCCAAGTCAACAGTGGTCATAACCATGTCACCTAAAAAAGTAGTGCTCTCTCAGCACAGGAGAGGTATCCATACTTATTCAAGGTGCTTAAGCTTGAGATGAGTGCCTACTTCTCAGCATTTCCTCCATGAATTGCTTGTCTTGTGCAGGCTGGCGACAGGCCTCTGCGCACTCAAATCTTTCAGGGATCCTGAAGAGAGCAGCCACTGTTTCAAGCAAAGCCCATCATCAGCTTAAAGGGAAAGTGAACACACCCCAACGCAGCAAACACAAAATGGCTCCTAAATTTGCAGGCCAGGTGACATATCCATTGGTGTTCTGTCACCCGAGAAGTTAAGTATAGAACCACCATATACCTAGAAAAGAGATCTGTGCTTTTCTCCACATAGGAAGTAATTTGCCATGCATCAGAAGATCACCCAGAGAGACCATAAAGAAGGACCCGGTGTGAACTCGATAAAAAGAAGAAGACGCAGTCTCCAGACAGGAAGCAGTGTGCACCAAATGTGGGGATACTCATATCACTGAAATCCCAGAGCCCCCGCCATCACATTCCAGACAGGAAAGTGGTGAAGGATTTTACAGTGCCCAACTTGGAAGCTCATTAATACTTTAACTTTTTCAAAGCAAAACAGATTGAGAAGAGAGAGCTTTTACACACCTACTGTATGCATTAAATGTTCCGACTAATTAAATGGACTGTCATTAAAATCACCATTAAATGCATCATTGCACTTAATCTTGAGGACTTAAAAAGAGGGTGTCAGGGTCCCTTGTGTTTTCATTCAACAGTTATTATGTGTCAACAACAATCTGCTGGGCTTTGGGAGCTGTAGACAAATGCCCCAAATTCTATAACTTCATCTCTTGAAATAGACTTAGTATTAAATAAATGGGCAAAGAGAACTGTGCAATTGAAATTATGAGTGAATACCTAAGGAAGAGAGAGATAATTTACTTTTTCAAGGTGGCCTCTGCACTGAAACCTTATGTTGTGGGATGAGATCGCATCTACGTTCAAGAGTCCAACTCAACAGCTCCTGCGATTCCCCTTTGCACGTGGGGACAGGGAGGTTTCTGCTCATCTCTGAGTTTTGCGAATATGACTCAGGACGTCAGGAGAGACTAACAGGGAGAAATGTTGCAGACTGCAAACGATTGCAGATGTTATAGAGCCAGAGGAGAAAAAGAGAGGAAAGCAGAAGAATAAAAGATCTGTATTTCAGCTGAACATAGCAATAAAAAAGAAGTTATGAGCCTCAGCCTGATCAATCACTGACTGCCGTGTACAAACACAGCTGTAATAGTTGCTCAAAGTAAGTGGGATCGATTCAGGGTTGTCATAGTCAATTAATTTTCTGCTTTCATCGTTGCAAATGCCTCTGTGCCTCAGTTTCCTATTATATTTACACACACACACACACACACACACACACATATTTACCTTTGGGCTAATTTCTGGCTGTTAGGAACTATTGGGAAAATCTAGAGTTTTTTTTAAGGTTTCTCTTTCTGTTTAAAGGAAAAGGGTGGTTCCCCCAACTTAATCTCTTCTTGTTTTAGAGCCAAGTGATGAGATCACCTGTGTGAGGGAAACTATTCCCTTTCACCGCCGTGGCGTGGGGCACCAGTACACAGAAAAGGGCAATCATCTATTCTCAAGATGGCACTCTTCTTCTGATTTTCAGCAAAATCTGTCTCTCGGGCAAGAGAAACTAATAATAAGCATTAGATGCCACCATGTTGATACCGGCTATGTGCCAGGCTTCCTAATGGATGCTCTACATACATTACAAATAAGATTCCTCGTCAAATAGAAAGACATTTTACAGATAAGACAACGAAGGTTTTTAAATGCAAAGTCACTTCCCAAATGTGAAATACAATGGAAAACACTTCTTAGGAAATATCCTCAGGGATATTCTCTTGTGCCCAGAGTCACTATGAAGGTCAAACCACTCTGGGGACAGAGCTCTAGCTAGCTCTGTGTGGTCTTACTCTTCAGTGAGTTGATAAAGGATGGCTCTATTGGCCCATGAAGCGATCATTCACACAGGGTGTGCAGGAGCTGAGAGTAGCACGGGGAGGAAGAATTCTCCCTGAAGACCCATTCCCACAGAGCACAGAGCAGACAGAATGCCACTCTGAAATGCTCTCCAAGAGTTAATTTAAACAATGCAAATGTAAAGCCCAGGCAAAGAGGAGCCTCACCTCCCCAGAGGTCCATGGGGGCACAGTGGCCAGTCCCTCCACAAGGTGGCACTAGGCACTCTTGTCTTTTCATCTGCAATTTCACACTGCACAAGGATCCAGGCTTCGCCCCAGCTTGACAGTTAAAGCTTTCTATTCCTTTCCTCCATGTCAACAGCATTACCTTGGGAACCTGTGCTGTGGGACACTGAACGCAGGTGTCATTAACCTAAGTGCCTGAACGAAGATGCAAGCAGAGCCTGCTGAGGACAGTCTGGTCACATATTACTGGATTCCCTGTCCCTAAATTCAGGTTGTTTGCTGCTCATGGGCTTTCTGTTGTCTCGCCTTCTCCCTTCTCCCTCTATCCTCTGCTTCTTTCTCTCTCCATTTTTTTTCTTAGTACCCGGTGCAGATATGAGCCCCTCGCATTCAGGGCTGTTCACCCCAAAGAGGGGATACATTTATGTGTATAAACACGACTATTTAGAAGGAATCTTGGCACTGTCAATTTAAGCAATGGTATTCAGTTCCCACTAGGACCCATTATCACTCCTGCCATGTTCTTTGGTTTTGTTCTCTTTGATTTTTAAAATCAGGTTTACAGTATCAGGCATGGGTTCTCTCTGGTGGGACAGGTCTCAAATCCAACCAGAGAACACACGATCCCACTCACTACAGGAGCACCACTGTCACACAAGTAGCTCCACCTTGCCTGGCAGCTGGTTTCACAGACTCACAACTGTGTAGGACCATTGATTGACATCTCCTCCCAAGTCCCCAGCAGTCTGTAAGGCACCTTCTGGGACTAGGAACACTAGCCAGCAGATGGGGTGTTTCCCCTTCCATTCCAGTTTGCTTCTTCTGTGTTATGCATCCAAGGCAATGTGGTATCTTTAGCGACACTGTCTTACCATCTAGTTCTGGCCGACAACCAAGAAAATGATAAGAGCTTGTACTTTTTGGGAAATCCCTGACCAACAACTCATAAGGAAGTATCTCATCTCTGGCATGAGTTTTTATTTTAATAACCCATGGCTTCTAGGGGCAACGTTTCCCAGTCAGTCTGGGCATTTCCCTTCAAATAGCTTATTAAAAAATAAATTATATATTTTAATTTGGTTACAAGATAGTAGGTTTCCATACAGTTTTTTTTTTAATATCCTTTCATTTGCTTAACCCTCTTCCCTCCTGCCTTGTCTCTCCTATCCTCCCACCCATTTGTGTTTAAATCTTCCCTATATCCCCTCACCCCCGCTCTATCTTCACGGTATTTGTGTTCTACTATTCTCCCCTCCTTGTACCATAACCCTCCCCATGGACTCTTTCTAGTTTCCTGGCTTCTACAGGGTCTGCAAGCAAAACACATAAATTAGGGATTCTAATATTAGGTCTATAGAGATGGCCTTGCAGCCATGTTTACATTCAATATGAGCCCGACGTAGTGGACCAGTACTCCTCTGGTTGACGTTCCTTCTCTACAGAGACTGCTGAGAAAGATATGCTCATGATACCATGGCCAGAAAGAGAGAATGTGTGTCTGAGTTACTAAATACATACCAAGTTCTGGTTCCCTCTTTTTAGAAGGTAAATAAGGTCACCTAGGCTAGGTTGTTCCTTGCTTAGCTCACCAGGGAAAACATTTCTCTTTCATCTTGGACTGTTCCCCTAGGCTAAACCATTTCACCTTTGAGATTGCAGTGTAACCCTTTCCTTAGCTTCATATGATGCAGAGTTTTCAAAACATAATTTTTTATAAGACTCAGGAACCTAGTAAGACTTTGTAAGATATAGGATCGAAGACACACTTGACCACAGTTAGACCCCAGGACTCAGGGATACTAAGCACACACCCTACTGCTGACATATACTCTCAGACCATGGTAAATGAATCCTTAAGTGTCTGGGCTATATCTCAACTGTTCTTTATTATTTATCTAAAATTCAAATTTATTTGGCAGTCTTACATTTCCATCTGCAAAGTCTACCAGCTTTATACAAGGCGACTTTCTAAGCATGGCACCAGGCACTTTGATGTCCTTATGTCTTCGGGATAATGTTGAGAAAACTAAGGTCCTGAAAAGTCGCCCATTACCGAAAGCCAACACAAGAGCATATTGCCAGCAAAACCAAAGTAGTTCCAAAATAAAGCCTCAGTCCCAATCTTCCCTGACAGCCAGTCCCCCCCTCTTCCCCAGTCTGGAGAGGGTCTGTTGAGAAGCAGTGGGAGTCAAGGGCAAACCCGTTTTCTATAGGAGACTCCCAGCTTATTCTGCTTCTTGCCTCTGAAGTCGTTATTTTTTCTGAGCACAGCAAGGCGAGCATGCCTTTTCATTTCAGCTTCATCTGCAATCACCTTTCTCTCACTGTATTCTAAGTGCTGATATAGGAGTTTGATTGACTCTCCTAAATGAAAGAATGAAGACATTTACATAAAACAACCTACTGCAGGGCTTACATGCACTGAATCTGCAGGAATTCCAGGGGAAAGGCGACAGGACGCAAAGTGCTGAAGAGGAACTTCTCGACGGATGAAAGGGGACGTGAACAGTTTTCAGGCTAAGCGCCTTCCTTCTTTTACAGCGTGCGGGTTACTCATTCGGTCGTCCGGGGGATGAATACTCTCCAGCTATCTGCTCTGCACAGGTAGAGGATTCTGGAGGCGGGTCCGGCACCCGGTCAGCTTCATGCAGGGAATGGGGGAAAAGTGACTCATTTCAAGGCCTCAATTTCCTTAAATGTAAATCAAGGAAGCTGAGCTCTTCCCTCCACTTTTGCAGGGCCCAGAGGGGAGAGAAAGGAGACAGCTGGTATTATCACCAGCTGCCGAAGCAAGGGCTTATCATCACTACATTCTTTAGGAGTCAGGGGGTTTGCATGACTATGGTGTTCTCAGCAATGGGCTCCTGCTGAAGGGTCAGTTACTCAGCTGAATTTCTACACTGGAGACCTTAAAACAATTTGTTGGGTTCTCAATAATTAGATCTGTACCAATTTTGACATGTTTGATTATTTT